GATGTGGGGAATGGCACTCGCTCGCTCGCTCGATTGGTCGATTCCTGTAAACTTCTTTTCCATTTTAGTCTTTTGAGTGCATTTGATAGTTTTTGGCGAGCAGTAAACTAACGAAATGGCGACCTTTGTTGCTAAAAATAGTGGTGGGGTGAAAAAGAAGCCAATGATAATCTTAAAAGAGTTTTTTTTTCCCTTTTAGTTTCAACAAGCGGCGCCAGCGACTGGCAGGCATGCAAGGATTCACACTTAAATAACAGAACAACCCTCGTTTTTCATAAAATTGCAATTTACAATCCTTGGACTTGAAGACAATTCGAAGATTTATTGAAAATATCACTTACTGCGAAGCGCTCGGAGTTCACAGATGTTCAAAAGCTTTTTCTGTTATGGCGTGAGATTGAGGACAAAATCATTCATTACGTTTCGTATCCTGTGCTTTTCTTGTCTGAAGCAACAAAAGATGCCGGCGGCTGACGAAATTACAAGTTAACACGAAAATAAAATAACACCTAAACAAACAATTTTAGCTACCAATTTACAGTGAATTTTTAAAGCACAATTTTCTTTTAAGTTTCAGGACAATTTGAAGATTCAAAATACATATTACGTACTAAAATGCGAAAGATATACACCACAAAATTGACAAATAGGCCTGAAATGAAATTCTATTTTGTTATTGATTACACGTTGCTTAGCACGTGACTAAAATCTACCCAGGCGGAGATCCAAAATGACGGTGGCAGTCTTGGCTTAGTTATATCACTCAAAACTCGTTCCCGTTTGTCTCATTTGATAAAGAAGGAATCGTTAATGTTTTCATTAAGACAGTATTGCCTTGATTTTCTAATATTTACAATGATAGACAGTATATTTCACTTTTCACCCACATTTACTTCCAACCTTTTCTTTTTAACCAGAAACAAAAATGATTTACTTTTAAAACACGACATCATCCACCCTTGTCAAATGTAATAGCATGATCATTTCAATTGTAATGCCTTCTTATCCCAAAGTTACTTTATTTCTTTGCTACATTAGCGAACACTGAACTACTGCTCGTACTCTAGATATGACAATCAACCACAAAATTCCCTAAACCAGATAACTTTAAACATAATCCAAAAAATCATATGTCAATTCACGAGTTTGCTCCCAGAGCACTTTGATCGTAACTACCGTCAAGGGGGACAGGATATTGGCTAGGTATGCCGAAAAATCGTAAGCAAAGGTGTTAATACATAATGCAATTGGTCTTAACGGTGTGTTGGGCTTGTGTATCTTAGGTAAGCCGTAGATCCCAGGTGGCTCTTTGTGCCTAGGTTTGATCTTCTTGTAGATAGTTTCTGATAGATTTCCATTTCTTTTCGCGTTTTTTCATGACACGTGATGGCCCCAAAATTTGCAGGGTGACACGTGACTGAACCCAAATTATCTGCGTGACGCGGGACCGGTCATTACAACATGATGCGTGATTTGCTATTTTACAAGCGCTTGACACGTGATTTACAAGACTTACTAATTGGATTTCCGTGATAAGTGAATGCTCTCTGACACAGAAGGATACCAATTATTTAAAGTAAATAGAGTCTTAACAAGAATTAATAAACCGTCGCAGCCGTGACACTGTTTTCTGGTCTTTTCCGTCCTTTGCTGACTTTTGACTGACCTTTGATGACTTTGATCTGCGTGGTAGGTCCAAACAATCGTGACACAATAGGCATAAGTTGATATAGTTAACATTTTGCACCAGGACAGTCACCTTCAGTGTTATTTTTGTCGACCGCCAGGTCGTGATGGTGCGTCACATCGTATCCAGAAAGACTAGAAAGTATCCAAATCTATCGAATGAAGGATCCAAAAGAACGTCGACTTAAACGACCCAAACAGCTGGAAGGGTAACTGAAAGGGTAAGTTTATGCCGTCCGAGGAAATGGTAAAGCAAGCAATGAGCCAGTACACAAGGAAACATTTTGTGTACCAGTTAGCGGTATGCAAATTCTTCCAAGGTCGCCATAAAGATAAAAACAAATTCAAAAGCCACGTTATATCCTTTACTGACATAAAGACAGTGCCGTACAGGAGGGAACTGGGCAAAGCTTTGACTTAACTGTTGCCCTTGTATCAAAGCATCGTAAAGTAGAGTTGACGTCAATTCAATCAATTCGTACGCAAGACTCCTGGAGCCACGAGTGGCCGCAAGTTGAAAGATAGCCAAATTAGCAAAGTTCATACTAGTTCTCGCGAGATAACTAATGAGCCATATATGAGTTCAAACTACGAAAACAGTGCCAAAACTACGACTACTGACTTATTAAACAACAAACTATGATGTCTATGTTGCCTAGACGAACATCTCAGATGTTGAATTGAAAAAATAAAAAAATCTTCGCGGAAAGAACTTCGAAGGTGAGGCAACAATAAGCTACTGGATGAAGAGGATTGAATACTGAAATAATAAATATGTAGGCTTAACTCTTGTGTTAAATATCCTGATTCCTTAATTTGTTTTTACTTTGTTCAATACTTGAAAAGTACGATTTGATATTGCGATACGAAGCCCGAGTAAACGTTCTCGGAGCAAGTAAGTCGTCTTTAATTGTTTGACAAAAAGCAATATGACAAGTGAAAAGTAATTCATTCCAGAATAAAAACGTTGGATGCAACTTTTGATAATATATCCGATAGATTGAAATCTTACAGTATTAGCTTGGCGTAGTTACTCCTTTTCAGGTGACGCGTGATTGGTTAAATAAATTCTTCGTGATCCGTGATTTAATAACAAAATTCAGCGTGATGTATG